AGCCCCGAGCCCACCCACAGCCCAGGACCGCACCCGGCCGTCCGTTCTTCTTCAGGACCCCCTCCCCAAATGGCAGTGGGGGAACGGGATGGGATTTATTTGTAACTTCCAAAAAAAATCTAAACAAGCATTTTGGATTTAAAAAAAACTTAAGTCATATTTGATGAAGTCAATAAAACAAATACAGTAGATAGCATTAAACATTTCCCAAGAAAGTAACTTAATTTTAAACAGGAATCATACCAAGTAAATGTATTTTTTTTAAAGTTGGATAATTAAAATTAAGTTAACTTTAGATCAAGAAACAACAGCAGCCTAAAAATCTGAATAAAATGTATCTGAGGATTTTGGAAATGCTCTTTAACACTTGTCATCGACATTTATGTCAACAGGCAATTTTAGATGTTGATGCAAAGTATATTTTCTAATATTTTTGACAAGTTACATTAAAATAATACTTTAAATACAAACTAAAATCGGTTGGGTCAAATTTGGACCTAGTCCAATCAGTTTGATCCAGCATGCAAGGTTAAGTTTCTGCCCAAAAGTTTATAAACACTGAAAAGTACTGAGTGTACGACTGAGTAAATGTGAAATTATAATACAGAAATACTATTAAAAGTAAAAGTAAGAGAGCTTTACTCACTGTTGAATTGTGGTAAGTAGCTGCCATCTTGAATTCTGTACTCTTCCACTTTCCGACAGGGAATTCCCACTGGAGGGGTGTTCCATTTTAGATTTACAACTTGTAAGTTGGAAATTTCTACTTTCCAGTTGAACTGGGCCAAATCAAAGGTAGTCACCACTAGCTGGGGGTGCACAGCGTTCAAAAGCAGCGGGTAGCTGGCAAAATTCATTGTGTAAAATTTATTTTTCACTGCATTGCTGACTGCTGGCTAATTGTGAAGCCTGTGCACTTCCACCCAGTGTGAAGCCATCATCTTTTGTGTAAAATAATCGGCATGCATTATGGGGGATGTAATTATTGGGTAATGCTGGCTTTAAGATGGCTTTTTGATTTGAATTAAATTGAAGCCATTTTAAGACAGTACATCTTTAAAGCTCTCGCAGGCCACATAAAATGTTGTGGCGTGCCACATTTGGCACGCAGGCCTTGAGTTTGATGCGTGATTTAGAGCCTCCAAAATGTTGATTATAAAGAAAAACTCAATGAATGTGTTATATAATAGTTAAATATTGAGTTGTTGCAAACTAACTGGTGTTTTTAGCATCTAATAGTTAGCACCAAATAATCATTTTTAGGAATTTAAACTCTGTTTGGTGCAAAAAGTATTAACAAAGTCAAACAGGTTAAATGTTTTCTTATAAGCTTTTTTTTCTTTTACATTTTATCTAAACTTGTTGCTTTTTAAAGCAGACATTCAGTCGGGTCTGATTTTCTCAAATTCTGAACTAAAATGGTGGACTACGAAGACTGACACAACTCTCCAATCAGACCACTGGGTCAAACGTTTTGACCCAAAATTTGGTCAAACTAACCCAAAAACTTCAAAAACAAAGAAAGAAAAATCAGCACTTTTTGGCTGAGCCTGATCCTCAACACAAACTGCACTCAGAGCACTAAAGGTTATGCAAGATCTTTGTTTAATATTTTGCAAGTAATTAAAGTCAACCTTATCAGTATTTTAGCAAAAATATTCCATAAACCACTTGACTGATTTTAATTAAACATAAAAAATAAACGTCTTTAGATCTAAAACTGATTAACATTTGGAGTTAATTCTGTTCAAGATAGCATTCAATAAAAACACAAATAAAAAATGGTCGTAATTTAGTTTTACAGGTATTGAGCTCAAATTTAGAGCAGTAGCTGAGATGATTTTAGCCTCTTATATACAGAATATACTGTATTTCAGATGTGCAATCAGTCTGAACCTCAACAAAAGCTCTTTTTTATGTAATCTATTTCATTTTCCTTATTAGGTTACACTTTAATCCTGTAAGATTTGTAGGAAATAACTGAAATTACAGTTTTTAAAAATAATATAAAACACTAAACATTTAATTGTACAATAAAAAACAATTGAAATTGTCAAATTACAGTTTTGAATTACAAAACAGCTCATATTTAATGGGCCAGTCGCTACAAACGCTGTGATTTTTGGTTGCAAATCTAAATATTTCTGCTCATGTTGATCAGAGAGTTGCAGAAAGGAGTGACAGAGAGTGAGTCCTCTTCATTGTGTGTGTTCCACCTGGTGAAGTCCTTCTGAAACCGTGACAGACCAGCGGTGGAGATACAGGAGCAGACAGCAAGCATCATGAGGTCAGGCCGGTTTACATCCCTGTGGTGTTTTAATGCTCATCTTGGTGCAGTTTGAGAAGTAATGTCGACATTAGTTTCAGTGCAGCAGCCGGAAGCTTATTCTGACATGTTGTACTGAATCCACGTCTGTGACAGACCTCTGAATCATTTATGTTTAGTTAAAGAATAATAAAGGCCAAGCATTTTTTAGAAGAATCCACATCACCTGCTGCCATTCATGTTAGCATTTAAAACTGGAATCGCCATATCCTAAGAAGAGTTTTTATTTCCATTTAGATCAAAACTTGCATTTTAAATCATGCTCAAGCTCAGATTATACTCAGCTACCACACAAATTCTGCACTGTAAAACATAACTTGTAAGATTTACTTGAGAAAATCCTGTAAACAATTTGCACTAACATTTGGTAAGTAAATTTAAATGCTACAAATATATGTAATATTCACTCTCATCATTATCTACTAAAAGTTATTAAGAATATAGTTAAAGATTTGTGAATAAATCTGGTAAATTTTACTTAATTTGCTCAATTAAATCTTGTAACAAATACTTGATCAAATGAAGTAAAATTTATTTGATTTATTCACAAATCTTTAACTTTATTCTTGATAACTTTTACTTGATTATGATGAGTAAATATTACATGAATTTGTAGCATTTAAATTTACTTAACAAACAATAGTGCAAATTGTTCCAAAGATTTTTTCAAGTAAATCTTACAAGTTCTTTATAACAGTGCACATGCATCAAGCACAATATTGTGGCATGACACCTCACAGCTACAGAGAGAGGTGTAGCTCATGTTGTAGTTCAGGACTTCACCAGCAGGTAGCAGTTATGAAGAACCTTTATTGGATTCTTCTTCATGAACAACACAGACAAAGTGAAACCCACAGGTCTTATTAATGACTAGGCCTACCACTCTCACTTATGGTTACTTCTGCTGAACGGTTTAACACAAGTTAACAAATAATGAACACACAAATTAGAGGAACACAAAAGACTAATCGCTGAAAGAACAATGTTAACCAATTCCCTAAAATAATTTAACAACACAAACATGAATCCTACCCACAATCCTCCACTGCAGTCACATGACAAACAGCCAGTCTGARCTAGCACTGCTAACA